GCATTTTCCATCTTTTGCTGAAGAAGGCAACAGTAGTGGCTGAAACGTCCGATAACCATATTTTTAGCCACTGACAACCATTTAATTCCTTTTTACCAGTATTTCGCTGTTATTTATACATTATTGTAAATAAATACTTCAAAGATGAATACGGACATGGCAAAATGATTTGAACAAAGCAGTTGATAAGTAGAAAAATAGACATTACACAAGACTGGGAGTTCAGCTGTTACTAATATTGCCTTGGGAAGGGAAGAAAAAAAGAGAAAAAAAAAAAAGCAATGGAAGAAGCCAGAAACAAGAAAACAAACCAAGACTAACGTCTTATTCTTTGCAAATTGTGTCAGATAATCGATACACGGTGAAACAGAAATTGTGTTATTTTTTGCTTTCCTCTGTCTGCATCACTCCAGCACATTATGTGGCATCAAAAAAGAGGCTGCACCCTCAATGCTTGTGAATTTTTGTAACATTAAAAGCCCTAGCACTACATATATTTTATCAGCAAAACTCGTCTTTAGTGGCCGCCAGTTTAAAAATACATAGTTTTACCACAAACTTCGCATAAGTAATCTCAAAAAGACCATGCACTTAATCTCAAAAAGACCATGCTGATTTTTTAAATGACTTACCCTCAGTTACGATATATTTATCCCCTTCTTTGTTGCAAAAATGTTTCTTAATCTCCTCTTCCTGTAGAATCAGTTCATCCAAATCAATGAGGTTGATAGATTTGGCCATGCTTTTGTGTATTAAGGGTAACCACAAAATGTTTAAAAGAGATGTCACACTGCGCACCAGATGTGAGGAGTCAAATGAATATTGGCAAATTTAGAGCACTCTGGTCCAACTCGCTGGTGAGTCTACCAAAACAGTCACAAATTTGCCAGTACTTGTTAAATCCCTCATCTACTACTACTGCAGGTTGAAAAAAAAACAGTTGCTGTGCTAGTAAAAACTTCTATGGATTTTTGTTCAAAATTTTCCTGATAATATTATTGTGAAAAGTTCAAGCAGTTTCCACTCTACTGAGCATGCAAACAGTAAAATATTTTAAACTAAATGATAACAAATGTTGTTACGTCTGTAATCTGTTTTTTCTTTTTTGTGCAGTCTTTTAGAGGATTTGATGATCCACTCGCTGAATTTGAGACAACATTCCAGGAAGTGGTAAAAAGATTAAGGCAGAAGTTCAGGTATCTGCATTTTTTATTAAGTGATGAACAAAATAATTATTCATATTTAAATAATGTCCAGTCATTGACAAATGTAACATTCAATAATTGGAAATTTACAACACTTACTTCTACTCCATCTGTACATGTAATACATGTCCAACCTTACTCTCCAATGGTCGAAATATCCTTGGTAGAAATGGAACTCATCGGTGCTGGATACTGTTCAGAGGTTTTTCTGTGGAGTGAAATCAAAATGTTGGTATTGGCAGTGTTAGAGTATCGAAAAATATGCATTGAGGAATAATTTGAAGCCAGGGTTAACATCCAGCTAGTCTCTTTTTGATGTTTAATTGCAAAATGTGGCATTCCTCAATATATATCTTTATCCCCACTTAACAAAAACACCTGAAATCCAGATTTTGCAGAATTCCTGACATTTTTGGGGTCTTATGCATGTTATGCATACAGACCCCTAAGGCAGTGGCAAGTCTTGATTGTCAGTGAGTCAGTGATACTGTCAGTCAGTCATTTTGAGGACGAGATGACATGTGACAGACCTCCAGGAGTATAAATAGTCTGGCAGGTAGACTGGGTACTAGTGTTTTTGAGTTGTTTTGTCGGCCATTGCTTCTGGCGTAGCATTGTTGTTGTGCAATTGCAGCCGTTTTACCTGTTTTGTGAAAATTTAGAAGATCTTTCCCATGCAAATTAGTTGTAATTGTTCAAGGTAAATTCTACTTCAAAATCACTCTGTCGTGCTGTTTATGATTTCATTTCGAAAATTAACTGCACAGCCTTATGTGTGCCTTGGTTGTTCTTTGTTATTTCATTTAGGTGATGGAGTGAGTTTCCTTGCGATACGAGAGTTGTTTGCTCACACAAGTCAACATATCTAGACTCGGCTTGTGTATAGTGCAGATTGCACCGAAACTAATCTGCTTTTGCAAGCCCACATTCATTGGCTTGAAATTCGGTGTGGGTTACACCACAAGCCAGGGTTGTCATAAGCCGGCAATCAGTGTATTCGCGAAACCTGCACCACCTACTCCGAATGCTAGTAAGTTAGTCCTGAGCGCGATATTGGAGAAATAAAATGGAAATGAAATTGTTCAGTTATTAATTATTTTGTTTAAACCCAAATTGGACCGCAGAGAATAAAGTATTTGCTGAAAAAGTGCATGACACGAATCGAAACTGATTCAATTAGCAGTAAAATGTTCTAAACCTCAGCGCATAATGATCTGAAATGAACAGAACACGGAATAAAGTATCTTTTTAAAATAGTCTAACAAAAGGTGAGTTTTTGCTGTGTTCAAATAGCACTGCAATACATAGGTGTGTGTTTTTTTCCAGTTAAGTGCTACAGTAAGAAGAGTAGTAGATTTATTTACACAAGCATTAACAGTTTAGTGTCAGCGGGAAACTGGCTGATATCCGCCATAAAACTGCAGAATTACTTCAGTCAACAATATCCCTTACTTTAATGGAAATAAATATACTCCTCCTGAAGTAATATAGTAATTTCTAAATTTATACACCCAAAAATGATACAATACAACCATATGAATCATTGGGGTAAACACAGAATATTTAATTTATTAAAAGCAAAGTCCCGACAAGATGGTTAACAGACAACACGTGCGTGTCAAATACGTTCGCTATTAAAAAAGAGCCTAAAATTCTGAACATGAGGTTAACATATGAAAGAGACTTGAAATAACGTTTTTTTCAAATTAAATTTTATGTGACATAAAGTCAAGAAAGCACCGAAATATTGAACATTTCAAAGCCATGGATTTGTTTGTGCACAATTGCCAAATATGTCGGCTAGACTAAACATAGCTTCTGGTTGTAGTCAGGAAGTGGTAAATGGTAATTTTTTTGAGGGGGGGGGGGGCTCTTGATGAGATATTTAGGGCCTGTTTACAAGGAGGAAGGGTTACCCTTGCAAGCGGGTTAACCCTAGCCGGAGGGCAAAAGATAGCCCGGATTTACAAGCAAAATTTCACAGGTAGGGTAACCCTATAACCCGGGACAATTTAATGCATGGTTACACTCAAAGGGTCTGGAAACAAGTAGAAAGTTAACCCGGGTAGGCGGGTTTACCCTCCCTGGATTGTTTACAACGGAGAAAGTTAACCCACCTGCCAGCGTAACCCTAGCACGCAGATAAGGTAACCCGCATACCCGAGTAACCCTGGCTGCCTTGTAAACACGATGAAGGAAACAAAAGGAAATGTGTGAGTGCTAGGGTAACCCGCTTGCTAGGGTAAGTAACCATCTCTCCTTGTAAACAGGCCTCACTGGGTTTTTAAGTTTTTAAAAAGACAATTGTATAATAGAACATTTTATGAAATAAGTCCAAGAAGAAAAAGATGAAAACGTTCTTTTATTGCCTCCTTATGCACAAAATACAAATACAATACAGTAGAGATACAATACATACATACCAGTGGTGGATCCAGACCTTGAGCTAAAGGGTGGGGGAGCGTTTTTTGCTTGCCCTGCTGGCTTTTCTTCCTTCTGCGATTTTTCTTTTACTCAAAATAAGGGGGCCAGGCATCCACAGGCCCCTCCCCTGGATCCACCACTGCATAAGACCCCAAATACGCATTGCGGACCTATTTTTGAGTTTGCTTTGGTTAGATTTCCCAGATTTATCACAAAAGCAGAGCTTTTTGCTAAAAACTGATTTTTTGGGCATGTTCAGCCTGGATATGAGCCAAATTAGCTACAATCTATTCTAAAACGCATTTCCAATATGACAACATGCTTTTCTTTCCACTAGCATCACGATTTAGGACATTTTTGCTTGGGCATGCGCAGAAATCAAAATTTTGAGATGGATGAGAAAGTGACCTACGCCTTAATAGGCTTTTCAGACTTTTATTTTTCTTTTCTTATCTTTTTGCTGCAGTGATTGACCCTCTACTGGGCTTGATCTAGATGCCAAGGAGTAGCCAAGTGTAGTTGAAGGAAATGATATTTTGCTCCAAGTTTTTCACTCAAATTTCTGAGCACTTTCAGGCTCCATTGACCAGATCACTCTGATCTGGGTATCACTGGAAAGATCATTTCCTCCTGCAGAACTTGAGTATAGATAATAACAATTTTGGTCAAAGGTGATGGCGTCAGAAGTGGAACAAAGGCCAACACTCGTCACAGCAAGTTACAGCCAGCACAGGCATCAATGGGTTAAGGAAGGTTTTTTTGGTTTAAATTACCCCAACCCTTGGGAAATTCTCTGTACTTCTCTCTCCATCAAAATTCCCGATGACTTTTTAAGAGGAGGGTATGGATATTTTTAACTTGGAAAATATTTGTTCTTTCCCAAATTGTAGTGGTGGAACAATTTCACTCCATCACTCCTTCACCCCATCACTGGGTCACTTCCCATTAGGCATTTGGAAAGCCAGGGGGAAACTCCCATATGAAGAGGAAGGGGATGTTTGGCGGAAAATTTGAATTTAACTCCTAAGGGAGACTAATGTGGACATTACTTGAGCTTCATTAGACCCTTAAAAGATACCACTTAAAATGGAATAGGTTCGATCACTAGCCACTGTTCAAGAGAGATCCACGTGAGAGATCACCAGAAATCAAGCCTGAAAACAAAAATTAAATGAGAGCATTTCTTTTATTATTATTTCCTCAAGTGCACTCTAAAGGATACTTTGACAGCTAAAAATGGTGGCATTTTGTCATCAACACCCTAAGTGAGGCCAGAATCCTTGATTTGTACCTGAGACGATNCCCCCCCCCCGGATTTTGAACATCAGCCATTTAAGGCTGTTTTGCAGTCGCTTGCAACATGTCAAGTTAGTTATTTTTGAGAGGTAGAAGGTATAATGATTTTTTCATTGTAAGGGAAATACTTACAGTTCTTCTTTAACGATTTGATTCAGGGAAAGTCTTCATGGTTTTTCCTTCACAAACCTACGTGATATTGTGAGTTCAAAAGCTTTCGATATAAAAGAATGATTAAAGGCTCCAGACAATTTTTTTAACATAAGAAACAGAAAGACAAACGCTACCTTTCGGTAAATGGTTTCTTGACAGAAAAAGTAAAAACAATGAAGAAGAAAAGGAAAAATAATCAGTAGTCACCGCTAGGATTCGAACTCCCAATGTCTCGCATGGTGAGCCAGCACTTATCACACTGCGCTACTTGTACATCAGTTACTGGAGGGCGAAAGTATTTATTATTTATTTACATACGGCAGGCTCAAGTGTTTTGTTCATACTTCACTTTTAACCAAACAAAATGATCTTGCCATTTTTGACTACAGCACAAGGAAGACATGTATAGATACGTGTGATGTAAAACGTGTAGACAGGCCTGAGTAACAAACAGTTTCTTAGCGTTGAACTTTTTCATTTTGCAAATATCACAACACACCCCTGAATGGAAAAAGGTTTTATTGACTCGTTTGAAAGCTAGACTGCCCTCACATCACAAGTAGTTTCCTAATGAGTAATGCCTCATAACACCCTTTCTCAATTATTTTCCAAGTTCAGTGGCTCACAGCCACTTTGATTGGAAAATAATTCCACAAATCTTTGGTTTGATCTGCAAGTATGACAAATGTACCGCAACAAGCATTAATTAAGATGGTCTTTTGGTTTTAAATTTAATTTCATAGCATGAGAACAGAATATAAGGCCACCTACCAGTATGCAGTGGAAGCATATCCTAGGATAAACAAGAACAATATATGCCAGTTGGCAGTTTAAGTCCTTCACATGTCAATAACAATTCAAACAATAACTCTTCAAGTTGTTCAGTCATTATCCTAGCCGCATTGATTTTGGCTTTTTCTAATACTGGATTTTTTTTTTTTTTTTCTGTTCTGTCCTTTGATTGGGTAAAGTTGTGGTCCAGTTGTTGTTGTTGTTGTTGTTATAATAGTTAATTTGTTATTGGTTTTGCTCTACTACTGCAGCTCTTCAAGTTTATCATGTGATGGCGGCCTTACATTGGTTTCTTCTAAAAATGAACTTCATAACAAGTACAAAGTTCAAGTTCTAGCTTCTAAGGGGGTCAGTACTAATGACACAGGTCAAAAATAGTAGGCTAGTTAAGTATTTCATTACTATTCATGGCTCAAATTTCCACTGCAATCTCAGAGTTGTTATAACTGAATATACCTTCAAAACCCTTTTTAGGTTAAAATATGTTTAAAGGTGGAATAGAAGGCTTATAATGACATAACTGTAGGGTCGTTCTGATAAATTTTGCTTCTGAGCATAGTTTGATGATATTGTGTTGTAGCTTCGGACAAGTTCTCCAGATAAAGAAATTGCATCACTGGGACCCAGCATCAAGTGTGTTAGTGACATAAACAAGGCCGCCATTAGGGATCAGATTCAGGTTGGTGCATAAAGTATTAAAATTAAAATTGAATAGGATTCTGTCAAGCTTACAGATTGTTGTAGTGTGGGACTTCATCTCTCTCTAAGGATGTGTAGTGTCCATGGGGCTGCCTGTGGCTGCCTTTGACAAGTATTATGGGATAGGTCTGCATGAAAACGGCAACAGCAAGCTTAATCTGTCCTCAGTGCAGCTTAAATGTGAATAAAAGAGTGTTACAGGATGCTACCTTACAAAGATGGATGTTATCTTTCCAGATCATGGTATGTACTTTTTTTGTTCATGGGGGGGTTATATAGATGTATGTGAGATTGAGGCCATGTGTTTTACACTCTGTTGTCATGAAAGAGTGAATGTATTCAATACCTGATTGATTCATTAGTTTTTTAACGGAGAAGGTCACCCCAAAAAACTTAATATATTTTTTGTCAATGCAAATAAAACCTTGCACTAAGTTTAACCACTCACTGAAGTGTCAGCCTCTAAAGTGCAGGTTTTCTTTATGAAATTCATCTTCAAAGAAGCCCAAAATTAGAAAATAGTTGCCGCCATTTTCAACAGTACTCAGCAGCCAGGTCAGGGTTTTGTGACGAAAATTTCCATACTCCCCCACAGAAGGGATTGGAATTTCCTGAAGGCGGAGACTGGGATTCTCTAAGACCAAAGCTTTTGAGGAAACATATCAAGCTTAATTGGAATTCCCAGAGGGGTGGGGAGGCCTTGAAAAAAATCCCTTCCCTGGGGATATCAGGATTTTGCATTGCAGGGGGCTTTACGATGCTTCCCTATCCCCATGAATTTCCATGATTTTTCTAATCTGGTCCCTCTACCCCTTGGAAATTCCATATCCACAAATAACAGCCCAAGACTTTAGTCATAGTTTAATCTCCTAAGTACTGTCAGTAACAAAAATTAGCTGCAAAGGTACTGTCAGTAACAAAAATTAGCTGCAAAGTGTATATCGCAGGAACAGGGAGAGCTATGCAAGAGAGGATAAAATAACATGACAGAGACATACGGCTTGCTCGTACACAAACCTCCCCAATTTCAGAACATGCCAGTGAAGAATATCCTGAAGAAAGTTCCAGATTAAGACCATTACGCCATCAGAGATTTCACAACGGCTACGACTGATGGTGCAATAATACAGATTGTGTTGATCAAGTGATGTGGTGTCTACAGTAATCAATGAATCATAAAGGACTGCTTTGGAATGTGCACTGCATTGCGACTGTAGTGCTAAGAAAACAGTTAAATTTTAAAAGCGTGGTTGTAAGATTGAAAAGATCTTCTTGTTTGTAACATGTTTCATGCGTGAAACACATTGTTCAGTCTATGTTCTATAGATAACCACAGTAATCTTCGCTACCACCCTAGTGCTCCTCATTGTCCATGTTACATAGCCCTGGGCTGGGCTGCCTCATGTTGCTTGTTAGTGGGAAGAAATCCACTGCCAAACCAAATAAGTGTAATGCAAGTGTAACGCTAGATCAAGTAGACAGGACACATTTTTACTTCAGTTAATTTTCTCAAATAAAATTTGATCTGCCTCGATCTGGCCTGATTCGACCCTTAACCCTTTAAGGACCAAAAGGACGTTTTCGTCTGCTGTAGGGTCATGCACTTAGTACCACATCATCAATTTAGGCGTCAATAGATATTCTTGATAAGCAGATAACAGAGCTGGGATAGATGTATCCACACAACTGTCTGTTTTGTATATCAACCGCATTCTTAGGTAGCTAACTGATAAAAAACGTGACCAGTTTTTGTCACAAAATTAGTGGTAAAATGGCACATTACACCTGAAATTGATAAAGGTTCCATTTCCAGGCTTTAAATATAATCAACACCAAACTTTTTACGGCTGGCAGAAAGGATATGAAGAGCAAAAGCTACAATGGAGGACAGATGTCCTCGGGACAGTTCCAGGAATCCTTTCAAATGGGTGCATTTTACTCTCGGCATGATTATTATGACCCTGGATCCGCCTTAATCACCCTCCCCCTCCCCCTCCCCCAGGCAATGTTGAAAGCTCGTAAGCTAAAATTGACACTTATTTTGCTTAGCTATTGTCTGTCCAACCATCCCAGTTCAACATTGTTTGGGGGGGAAGGCGGGAATTGGAGTGAATCTTGCTCATATCATGTTCACTGTCCCAACACTTTCAGCCCACATTGTCTGAGACTGACTTGGAGGGAGGGAATAACAATTACCTTGTATTTGATAATGAAAACCTGTGAAATATTTTATCATGCAATTGAAAATGTGATATTGTTGTGAAAATTGGTCTTAATGCTTGGCAAGGTACGCCAAAATCATTTCATGGTACATTGATAACAGAGTTCAGTATAATGATTTCCTAAAACATGTTGATAACAACTTCCTGTTTTTCCTCTGTTCTGTTTTTCAAAGATATCAGTGTTTTTGTTTTTCGAAGCTTGAAACACATATTTTGACTTTCATAGGATGTTAAGGCAGAAATTATCATAATTTTTCCCCGACAAGGCATGCGGTGCCCCTGTTTTTTTGCTGCCGGATCATTCCAAGGGCCTGCGCATGTAAACTATTATAATTAAGCATGTGTGGCATCTGTACTACAGAGCGAAATGGCTGAACTGGAATATTTAGAAGCGAAAAAGACAGCAGATTGTGTGTCTAATTACATACAGTTGTGTGGATGTAAGTAAATTTCCATCAAGACAATGTTTTTCGGCTGCTGTGGTCCAAGCTTGGCAGAGTTTTGGTGTTGAAGTTGTTCAGTGGGTTACATGTATCGAGGGACATCGCAACACTGAAAGCAAATCCCTCAAGCTGAGCAGCAGGAATTACTTCCCTGTGGCTTTTGTTTTGCAAAATTTATTTTGGAAAACGCTGTTAGAGATTAGAGTAATTGATATAAATGCCATGTAATTTGTATGCTGCATGACTTTCAATGGTTGTTTACATTTCAATAGTTGTTATAGTTCTCTCCCAAAAAAATACAGTTACAGTTTTAATAAAGAGCATTATAAAATAACTGTGATATAACATGCACTCTGATTGGCTAAAGGATGCTTATTCCAAAGAGTCATTTCTTTCATCTGGTTGGACATGTAAATAGCAAATTATAAAACAATGTTTGTAAACAAATATCTTCCCAAAAGTAGTGGATATGCTACTGGAATTAGCTAGTTTCATAGGAGTAACATAACTGTGCACTCCACATTACAGATTGCCTTTACAACACCTCAGGATTCATATGATGCTTACAGAGTATTTCAGATGTTCAACTTTTATACGCGGGTATGTCAAACTAACCAAAGAAGGACATTCAATTTGCTGTGCTGCTGTGCTCTGCTGTGCTCTGCTTTGCTTTGAAGTGCTGTGCTGTGCTGTGCTGTGCTGTGCTGTGCAGTGCTGTGCTGTGCTGTGCAGTGCTGTGCAGTGCAGTGCTGTGCTGTGCTGTGCTGTGCAGTGCTGTGCTGTGCAGTGCAGTGCAGTGCTGTGCTGTGCAGTGCAGTGCTGTGCTGTGCAGTGCTGTGCAGTGCAGTACAGTGCAGTGCAGTGCTGTGCTGTGTTGTGCTGTGCAGTGCAATGCTGTGCAGTGCTGTCCTTTGCACTGCTGTGCTGTGCTGTGCAGTGCTGAGCTGTGCTGTGCTGTGCTGGGCTGTGCTGTGCAGTGCAGTGCATTGCTATGCTGTGCTGTGCAGTGCTGTGCTGTGCTGTGCTGTACTGTGCTGTGTTATGCTGTGTTGTGCAGTGCTGTGCTGTGCTGTACTGTGCTGGGCTGTACAGTGCTGTGCTGTGCTGTGCTGTGCAGTGCAGTGCAGTGCAGTGCAGTACAGTGCAGTGCAGTGCTCTGCTGTGCTCTGCCCCGCTTTGCAGTGCTGTGCTGTGCTTTGCTATTCTGTGCTGTCCTGTCCTGTCCTGTCCTGTCCTGTCCTGTCCTGTCCTGTCCTGTCCTGTGCTGTGCTGTGCTGTGCTGTGCTGTGCTGTGCTGTGCTGTGCTGTGCTGGCTTAGCGTTAACCGGCTTTCAAACAACCCAGCCCTGTTCAGAACAAATATTGACTATTTTTCTATATTTTGGTGGTGGTTTCAGGAGGAACTTGAAGCTGTATTCAAAGAGATGCAAAAGAGGAATCTGATTACTAAAAAGGTAGTTACTGTGGCCCCTAATAAGTGCTGGCTCCTAAATGTAATGGTGAACTGAAGGGATAATAATCTGTTTTACAAAAACCTACAGTGTATAAACCTAATAAGATTTGTTAGTTGCTTAAATGTTTTGTATTTTAGGTCATACCTCTTTTACAGAAATTATTAGGTCATGCATGATTCACAGTTATTTCCCAAAAGTAAAGTTTTGGTTTGAATGTCTTCAAAGTTTAAAAAAATTTGTAAAATGGTACAGTATTGTGAAAAAGTAATGCAAGCGAAATGCGCAAATTTCATTCTTTGTTTTCCCAATTTTTCGCGTGCACAAAACTTTGCACAAAAGTTTGAGCTGAACTTCGCGACATTTTGCAAGAACAATGTGTTTGTACATATTGTGGGTAGCTATCAAATTGGTAGTGATTGGTTTCAAGCTTATATAAGTTACAAACTGTGACATGCTAGTTAATTAGTAACTTGGATTATGGAATTCTTGTAAGTACCAATATCATCAGCTCAAACTCTGGTGGCATGCTGAAGGCAAGATGGCTGCAATAACTTAAGTGATCTGTAAGTACAGGATCTCCAAACTATTGTTATTTGCTGCATTTCAAAGAATAGCAGCAAACAGTTGTTTTCATGGTTTGCCGGTTTTGACAGTTTCTATGGTGAGGCAAGTACTATAATGGAAGGATTTTGCTGAGTGGAGCCATTCCATCCTTACATCGCTGCCAACTTGCTTTTGTTTCAAGATTTTTTATTAAAACTTCCTTTTTTAGACTGTTTGGTAAGCTGCAACAACAATGAACTACAAACGACAGTGTAGAGAAACTGATGCATACCAACAGATTACTTGACAAATCATCCTAGGACCCAGCTTCTCACAAACCCACGACTATCAAGGTTTCGGTGCTAAGTGCATGACTTAACACCAAAAGCTTATGTGACAAAAATAGATACCTCAAATGTGTTTTTCACCAGAACAATTACTAGAACACTGACTTCATTGAACAAAACATTTACTGACCTACTGAAGCTGACGAGACAAACAGAAACCTAACACATGTTACTACAGTGACTATACCGAGACCATCTCATGGATCCTACACCCCTACAACATACATGTAGCTGCAACAACAATGAACCACAAACCTACATCTATGTTACGACACTTTCAGACCAACACTTAAGACAGGGGCCAACCGGACAACAGACAGGGAGCAGTTTACAAGATCAAATGCTCTGAGTGCCAGGCTTGCTAAATCGGTGAGACTGGTAGAAACCTTAACATGAGACTGACTGAACCCAAACAAGCAACAAGAAATGGTGATGCCAGCAATCACATTGTTGTACGTCATCAAGTGACAAACTGCATAATTGATTGGGACTCTGCTCAATGCTTTACCAACAGTACTACCAGTAACTATTTTCAACAACTGACTATGGAATGCTGGTACTCTAACCTAGAACAAATGCTTCTTAACAGATGTCAGAGTCTTTCAGCCAATATTATCACAACTAAACTGACCAATCACTTTCATTGGGCCGGACTTATAACACCATCAACTGACAAACATTCACTGAAGATGATTTCCACTCAGGTTGTCAAAATGTCATTTACCAACAACAGTTCTTTTCAGAACTACCCTCACCCAGACGATTACACAACATGAACTACTGAGTGATACTCCTGGGTTCAAACCATGATAGTATCCTCTTTTAGACTCACTTCTTTCATTCTTCCTTCAGCAATGGGCATAACAAATGTACTTTTAACAAAGAATTTGGTGCCAATTTGCAAGAAAGCTGATATAAAGATAATTATCTCATCCTTGTCAGTGCAAATTTCCAAAGGCGCAGTAACATTTTCTTTGACAAGATTGACCTATTTTTGAGGGACTGCAAGGCATACGGTAGACCATGGTAATTCAAGAAGTTCGTTTTAATTTTGAACCATTGGTCATTTGGCTTTCTCTTGTGTGAGCAATTTCTATCCTCTGATTCAACAATGCATAAAATAAAATGTGGATTTTGTCTCTTTTGATAGAGATTAAATTGATTATAATACCAGTTTGTACTCTCATTGCATCTTGGTAGAAAACTTTTGAGAGTTCTGGAAGCAGTCAGTTCACTAGAGCTCTACCATTTGCATCAATGACATATCAGCTCAGCTCCACGTAAGTAAACTGCTTATCATGAACTTTGTTTTGAACAATTACTGTAAACAACTGTCAAATTATAATCGTAAAATTAAATTTGAATTTTGGTTTTGTTTATCAGTCAAAGCAACTATTCAGCTGTTTTTGGAATCGTATGAATTCACTTGCTCGACTGCCTTTGACATGCATCACTATGCATTTGACTTGAAATGATTTCTTTTTTCCACTGCCACAAGAAATGAAAGAAACATTTCATCAACCTGGTCTTCTTAGTCTGTACTTTAAAGGCCTAGCCAAATGCACTCAACATGTAAAAGTGGTGTATTAAAATTGTTGTGCAGAACATGTTGTACCATTTGGCCATGTCCCTTTTGCTTTTTGGCATGGTGCTTTGTGCTTGGGTCATAAAGCAACAGTAAAAGACAGTCTATAATTATAACTATAGTCTATAATTATTTTATACTTACAATTAAACCTTGAACTCAGTTAATAAATCAGTAACTTCATTGGTAACTTCAATCTTAAACCCTGAGTCTATACCTACAAGTGTAATATAAGTGTGGATTGTGATAGTGAGAGAATAGAATTGGTGAAGTAAAGTTGATGACTATATACACTGTACAAGAGTGTTTTACGTGAAAAATACACAACATGTAAAATTCATACAAAACTACGTCGTACATAATGAACAGCCCATGATGGGAAGGCTGTGTGTAATACTGACCTGTACACAAAGACTTTCCTATTATTTCTGATTGGCTGCATTTTCTAAGGCATGGTATAAAAACTAATATTTTTGCTGTTATTTTCCCTTAGGTACCATCGGTTATTCATGAATGGTTTCAAACTGGTTACGTTCTACAGAGATTGTGCTCATTTCTGCAAACAGCTCATCAATGGAGAACAGCACACATTCATTGATCCTATGACCAGCAAAAGCCCAACTGAAGAAACGACAGAGGCATTCACACCTGGCACCATAGAGTTGAGACCCACACGTACCATAGGTGGACATGTGGCCTGTATTCTATCTCTGTTGGCAACAAACAAGGTCAGACATTTCTAAATTTAAAGCATGATCACAGCCAAAATGATCTTCAAATAATTGTCAGTCACATTGTATTATAGTTTTGCTTTGGCTATAGTAATTAGTATGACTTGTGTAAAGCATACAGTTTGAGTATTTGTAAATGATTAAATTCTAAGGTGTGACGTACATTTGGGAACATTATGGAACATTTGCCCTTCATGAATTTCAGTTAGTTGTGACATTTGTGAAATCAAGGAAGTATAAGCTATAAGCATTCGGTCAATCTTAAAAATAAAAAAGTGCTCAGCGAACAGATATCTGACGATGATCCTTTGATGTTGTGCTACTTTTCACTTTCTTTCCTGTAAAGTTGGAATTTACATTGTAAAAACAAAACTCCAACAGTCTGATGTATGGAAGAGGCAACTGCTTTCACTGAGACAAATTATATACTTGCTGGAATTGGTACTGGGAAACAGCTACTTTGCTTATCAGGGGAAGCAAGTATTTGGTCGTGCAATGGGGTCACTCAGTGAGCACTTGTGAAGTTCACACAGAGCAGAGTATGACCTGCACAAGCAACAGTGAATTAACATTTAAGGTGGCTTTACTACAGTTTCTCCTAGACTCTGAAGTGCATGCTACAATTGCCTGCCAGAAGTCAGTATTAACCGTGCATGCAAAAATGATGCAAGAAACCCTAAGAAGAAACCAAAAGAACCTCAGTACTTGAAACATATTAAACCACTTTGGTATATGTAGTGATAGTTTTAAACTGCTTTCAAACACCTGTTTAAGCCTAGAACCATAAAATATGACAAAAAAAAACAAAGAAGTGGTGAAAGAGTTTTATTTACTCTTTCTTTCTCGCACGCTACACATCACGTCACATAAGCACCTGCTTAAATATAAAGCATATGCAATTCAATTCCCACACAAGTTTATAAACACCTGTCTTTGATCCAAGATTTCTCAAAAACCTACCTTACAACCTATGATGAAACTTTCACAGTTGAGTTTTAGGAGTGAATCAAGTTCAAAGCCAAAATTTAAAAAAAATCTGTGAGAGATTTTGAGCTTTTTTTGAAATACACAAAAGTTCACATTTTCTTTGTTTATGAAAAGTCTGCTTTACATATTTTGATTTTACTTTGCATGAGTGTTTAATGAAACAGAGCTTATTTCTAATTTCTGAAATTTTGAGGTGGGGTCATATGGGTGGATTTTGAGAAAAGTGACATCAAACCTACTAGTGCCCAGTCTCTCCTAGGCACTCAGTCATTCATTTTGACTATTTATTAAGATTTAATTGTTCGAGATTTTCAAAAGAGTTAAAAGTTGGGCTCTTAAGACCTCATTTACACTACGCTCACACCAACTTTGGTTTGATAAAGAAAGATCATGTTCTAGTTCCATCTAGTTCCCATTTTCCACATGTATTCACCCCATCTTTGTAACTTACAGATCTACAATACTGCCCTACTCATACAGTTCAACCCCACTTATTTAGGATTCCTCATTATTTTGAACTCAAAACCATTCTTTCTTGGACTGGGTGATTCCAGGAAATATCCATACCATACCATAAGTGGCATGAACATTTGAACCCTTCTAGCCTTCAGAAATTCCAAAAATTTAATGCTCTGTTCAATTATAATATATAGATTTAGCCAAGCCTAAAAGCGGAGCTCCTGATTGCAATAACTAACCATAAAGAAAAAAGAGAATTTGTTTTTCTTGGATCAGAAACTCAAAAACTGATCAATTGTGAGCATGTTATTGTTCAATATGTAGTTTCACTATTTTTTCCAGTTAAATCTTAACAAACTAACGAGACAATTGTGCAAGTTATATATCAGAAGAAAAGTCAAAAACGTGCCAGGGATAAATTTGCGCCGAAAATTTGCCTTTGCATGTACTGCCTACTTATGCCCTAAAGTAATAACCTGGCTTGAGCCATTGATCCAATTGAAAAACCAGTCTCTGGTCAGCGGTCAACTTCAAAAAACACGCAATTTCAATGAGCTCTATACCTGAGCCTGCGATATGGTCACTTGATACTGGTCAGCGGATAGCTTGTTTTGACAGCTATCAATTAACCATAACATGGATACCCAAAATCAAAGATATAGTTGTTATGGTAGTTGTGCTACTTTCTTATTTTTCAAGGTATTGGCGTGTGGATGGGCGTATGTATGTATGGACCATCACACGACAAGCAAATTTTTTAGATCAGTGGATTACCAAATTTTTTAAGGTATGGGCTCCACTCATGCACCTTTGGTGCACAGGAGCTCTGCTAAAAGAAATTAATTCTCTACTATCCCCATGCCCTCCAATTCCATATTTTTTTAACCCTCCTCCCTTCCGGATTTCCAGTTTTTACTTCAACCCTCTGGAATTCCTTGTTTGACTGCTCACAACTTCCAATGAAAAAGATTTTATGCTTTTACATCTTGCCAGAAGATTTTGCGTATAATTTTCAGTTAAACAACTGCCTACAGGGCTTTAAATTGCGAATGATACGAACACATTCATGACTAAAACTTCTTCCTCTTCAGTCACAATTTTGAGACTAGTTTTCCACTAAATTAGTGAAGGAATGAAAATGTCAATTGTTTTGTGTGCTAATTACTGTGGAAGTAAGAACATGTGTGGGCAAATCCTGCCTAATTTACCTTTGATATTACAAACGATATTCAATCAATCAGATGCCATTACAGTGGTTTCTTTATGAATATATATTGCTGGGCAGCAGGGCTAAACAGGGCTTCTGAAATTTTGCAGGGTCAAAGAGTGGCAAATTTCGAGAAAATGTGGAAATCCTTTAACCCATTGACTCCCTGAGCTTTTTGCCAAAAATGCATTTTGTGGGCATTTGGGAGATTTTCAGGCCTGGATATGGGCCAAATTAGCTCCAATCTACTCGAGAAGGCATTTGCAACATGACAGCATGCCTTTCTGTCCACTAGCATTGCGTTTTATGACATTTTTGCTCGGGCATGTGCAGAAATAAGAATTTTGAGATGGTTTTTGGACAAGAAGGTGACTTACGTCCTTAGACTTTTCGAATTTTTAAATTTTTTCTCACCTTTCCCTTTTCTCCTTTTTTTATCTTTTTGCTGCAGTGATTGACCTTCTACTGGGCTTGCTTGCAGTTCAAAAAATTCTGAGAAAGCATCATCAAGATGGGCAATTTCTACCGTGGAGTAGCCACATGTAGTTGCAGGAAATTTTGCTCTGAGTTTTTCAATGAACTTTTTGAGCATTTTCCTGCATATTTCATGTTCCATTGAGCCAATCACTCTGATCTGGGTGTCATCAGAAAGATCTTTTCCTCCTGCAGAAGATAAGCATAGATGATGCCAATTTTGGTCAAAGGTGATGACATCAGATTTGGAACAAAGGCCAAGGCTCGTCACAGCCAGTTACAGGTGGCACGGGAGTTGATGGGTTAAAATTCACAAAAACACACAAAGTACCTCAAAATTCGCTAGAAATCTCACCAAATACATGTCGGTACAACATATTTGAAACTTATCTTGGCTGAATGGGCTGTTTACTTCGGGTTAGTAAATTTACAAATTTATTGTGAACTATCATCGCTGGAACGAGTAAACAACATCCCAAAACTACCAGGCGTTCTTAGATTAATGTTGCGAAAAACTCTGCAGTGGCCACGATGTTAAAAGCTTTACCGTTGGTACATCTCTTGAGTGCATTGTTGTTAACAGAGCAAATGATCTCTTAAAAAGAACCTTTTGGTCAAGCAAATAGCAAACACGTACAATAGTCCAAATGAGTTGCTCAAATTTTCCTGCAAAATTACCAGTTTTAGAAAGGCAACACTTATAAGTAGTCGGTGTTTCTGTGGCTGCTAATGTATAGGCTACCACTCATCATTTCCCCCCAAAATGGCAAAATTGCCGGTTTTTTTAGTGTGAAGTCTGAAGGATGAAAGTCCATAGGATATGCTAGTTCCTGATTGAAAACATGGCCTTCAGATGTCAATATTTTTGTCAGCTGGACACAATATATAGCTGGATATTGGCCAAGTTCTTTTTTTGCATGTTTATAAACTGAGACGGAGTTGAGGTCCATGAACTCGCAAAATAGAGCAACGCCAATATGCAGCCATCTTGACCGAACAGGCTTGGTCAATAAAGGATTTATTATATGGATTTCGGGGAAATTTTTCTTGCGGGACACAGCATGTAGTCCCGAGCGGGCAAGATAGCTCCATCTTGCCCACTCAGGTAGCCAATCACAGTGCAGGATTTGATTCATCTTGCCTGCGCAAGGAGCTAGCCATATAATAAGACAACATACTAACAGACTGTAACAGAATCTGTTAAACTTTTCATTGTTAACTCCGTTAACTTTGTGTAGGGATAGCCGGGGTTTATATGAACTCCCTTGCAGGGTAGGTGAGGCAAGTGGCCCTTTGACAATACCAAGAAATTGCCTCTTACCCACTCCCCAGAGATTTCTTTGGTACCTAGCTATTGTGTTTTGGTCCCTTGCATATTCTAGGGGGTAGGGGAAAGGAAGATGGCATTGTGTGTCATGGTTTTCTACTGGACGGCAAACGTCTGTACTTAGAACCAAAACACACCTCTCAAGAGACTGAAATGGTAAGGAATAAGCATCAAGAAGACTTGACCGATGGTTAAGAGGGTGCTAATGACTTAGAAGCAATGATACCATCCTTTGGGTTGCAAGAAGGACGATCTGAATCAAAGGTTTTCGCTATGGAACACTGTGGACAAGTTTAAAATGGACTTTCTTATCTACTGTATTAGTGTGGTACGGTGTGTAATCCCGTAGGACTTCTGTGCCAAAATTGATTTTTTCGCTGTTTTGCACTAATGTTGGACCAAATAATAAGAATCCGATGGAGTTCAAATTTTCTACCTCATCTTCCATTGCTTCTGACTACTTAAGGATTTAATTTATGGAGATTATGCTAATTGGATGCGAAAAATAAGTTTTGCAAATATCATTGCTCTTAGAATCAAGAT